ATTTTACTTAATTGCGAAATGACGTTTTTGTATTGTTTCCGAAATTTTCCGAAGAAAATTTTTTTTTTTTTGATTGATTTCATCAGTAACTGCACCTGGTATAATGCATCACGAGTATGCTATTCGAAGGCCATAATGCGGTTCTTATCTAATGTCGGTCGGATGACGTCCTTGCCTCTTACTTTACCCACACCACGCGATGTTTATTATATTCTCGCTTGAAAGATTTCCAGGAACGTTTTGCAATTTTTCTAATTTCTTATTTTCTTCCGGAAGTTTCGAATCTTTTCAACGTTTCCTGCAATCCGGTACGTTCTATTTTCCATCTTCTAGATAGAAAGGGGAGGAAAAAAGGAAGGAAAAAAAAAGAAACTGGGCAGTTTCACTTCCGGATGAATGCCGATTGTTTGCCACCTGTTTGGCCACTTGCACTCGTGATATCGAATTCCTTATCGTTATTGTCACGCTATTTTCATGCCCGAAAATTGGTTTCTTTGATAACATACCACTGGCATCAATATTAATTAGACTGTGCCATTCACGCAGTGCATTCTCCTTCTTCTCAAATTCACGATTTTATTGCAATGTCTCGTTAAAAGTCAATTATAATTACATGATTTGTTTTTTTAATACAGAATTTCACGTCGATTTTATACCGGGAAAAAGTATTATTACAAGAATTTCCATAAATATCGTGAAGTATTGCCGTAAAGATTATTCTGGGAATATGCTAAGATCTTAATAATTTATATTGTTTTCCTGTTACAGCTACTGTATAGTAGTAGCGAGGAGAGTAGAATTATTACAAAATTCTAATATTTATGATTATACGTTGAATTTTTTAAACTTAAGAACATGTTGCAAGAAATTTAATCTTCTAATCAATACTTCGGCAGCAGGAAAGGGTATTGTTAATGATAATATACGTTTAGTGCATTGCCATGACTTAATTTCTTAGTATAACAATGTTCACTTATTTCTACATCACTTTTACGATAGAGGAATAAGTAAACACGCGATTCCTTAGGTAATTTGTATGTAAAAATATGAAAAACTTGTAAGAAATAACAGGTTTTCGTTTCTTCCGCACGAATTTGTGTATTTCCTTAGGAAATTAGAACGACAGAATAATTATTAAAAGTAGAGAAAAAGTGGTATTATCTATCGTCATCGTCTACTACAATTAATGTGTACTATAAGCCATAGATACCAGTATCTAGCGTAACTTCCATTTAAGAGTATGGCGCCGATTTACCGATAATAATCTAGATTCCAGGAAGAGGCGACGTTATAGGAGCGATAACAGTTCATTTCTGGCTGATTATTTTCGCATATCCTTCGGTAAACAGTTGCCTTCCGTTGGAAGTTGAATGTTGCAAACCGAATCCAGAAGAATTATTTGTAAATTTCCCGCAGATTTTTTTTCTTCCCTTCGTGTAAAACGATTTCTCAGTCTATGCCAAGGACGTTCGGCACCAAAAATAACGCGCGTGCCGTTTCTAGGAGCACTTCCTGACTGATGCAATCCTTTCCCATCATGCAATTGACCCTGAGCACTGGAATCGTCCTCATCTATCTCTGGCTATCTGCTTTTCTTCCAAGGACGTAGTTTTGGCACGTGACGGACGTCCTTGATCGAATGGCGTGCGTGAGGCCGAAAAATCGCACAATCATTTTTATCTGGTTTTTTTTCATAGTTATTTCCAACGGTTTTTCTACGGAAAACATTGAAAATCCCTTACTCAAATGGCGGAAAATAAGCAAATTCATCTCTCGCTATTGAATATCAACAAGGAGGACTTCACCATCTTTCGATCGATAGCGTTACGTACGCGTAGATAGTTCACACGTTGCAACGCTCGATTTCTTAAAAAAATACTTAATTTTTTAAATAAAAAAATGAATTTATTTAAATTTTAATCGAGTAAGACAAATTCCAAGCGTATAATTGATATTTTTGCTGAAAAAAATGCCATTAAAACACTACCCATAAAATTGGATTCGCGTATAATTTGCGTAAATTTCATAATTATTTGCACGTAAAGTATGCTTTAATAATTAATTTTAACACGTTTACAGATTGCTTTGTTATATAATGAACCGTATAAAAATTTACGAGGAATTAATTCGTAGATGGTTAATCGCTTTTGTTCTTCGAATTGACGACACTCGAATTCCCTATTCAAGGTTAGAAATTCGCTTCTGTTAAGATCCACTGTTGGCTCGATCTTTTAAGAATTTAGTGGTCTAATTTCCGGTCTTATCCTTCTATTTTATTGATGCCAAGTAAAGGATTAATGACTAATTAATTTCCGGATAAATTAAAGAAATTCGGCGAATATAAAAATTAGAAAAAAAAATAATTTTAAAAATAATCCCTCAATTTATGATTTAATTACTTAAACAAATTAGAAATTTTTTCAGGATCTGTATGATATTATTAATTATAAGGATAAATCAGAAATATGAGCGTTATAGGAATTGGAATTTTCTACCTAATGGGTTAAATCGTATAAATTATTAGGATAAATTAGGGAAATTTAAAATATGTCGTGTGGGGAATGATGCGTAATTAAGATGAATAGGGAAAAATTGAACAATTTTTTTTTAAAATATTGGTAATTTGGGGAAATTAGGGAAGATATATTAAATACTGTAGTTAGATCCAAGTGTATACACCCAATAGGGCCTCGTCGTCACGAGGGATCTCAAAGATTAGATGGGGGAAAAAGATAATATGCCTCATTTAAAACGTGTATATTATTTAAAGATTTTATTGACTTTTTAATATAAAAAAAACACTTGTATATAACAAAATTGTGCGTAGGCCTTCACTATACGCAGTGAGGTTCTACTACATTCTGATATGCGTCACGTTTTATATACGTCAATTAAGGCACAGGTGGAGACGTAACGTGAAGCTACGATTATCGATCTGTTTAAGTTTAGTAGCTACTGGCAACTAACGAGAAGCGTAACATCGATTTTAAAGATCTCCCATTTCCGTGACGTCGAAACTATTTAGCGAATCGTGCTCGATGAGTAAATCCCAGTACTGGACCGGCGTGACTAAATACTACATCTCACCTTGACCTATATATAAATATATATATACAGTACTAAACTTCGGCCATTCCGATTGGGAATAGAGCAATTGTAAACCTCTGGTTAACAGTTTCTGGCGTTAAATCGAGGAAACTTACGTTAACTCGGTTTATCGTGTTAAAGACCAGGAACCGTTAAATGGGTACTTAGATAAATAACTAGTTTGAAACTGTTCTGGTGTGCTTTGGAGTGGGAGGAAACGTTGTTTTCAGTCGACGTGCGCGAACGGAGTGACCCTGACCCAAATCGACAGATGGAAGAGATAAAACAAAATCTGGATTTCTATGAGAATTATGAAAACTTTTCTCCGTTTTTATGTTTATTAAATTGCGGTTTAATTAAGAAAATTTGGTACATTTTTTACCGTAAATCTTCTTCTTATTGTTTTAATCGGAGAAACGCTTGCACCCTTACGATTCGACTACAGGAATGGATGAAATGATCGAATTTAGCACAGCAAAGATTTGTCACACGTCGTCCTTCAACGTCCTGACAAAACAATAGCAAGTGTCATGGACAGGTGCCGTTATTGGGACGAAAATGAACAAGTGGGACGAACGTTTCATTAACGTAGATGCAATACTAATTACGTAACGGGGTTAAATCACGTGCGACGGATATCAGTTAAGGTTAATAAGAATTAACGAGGTTTTTTCATTACCTCGTACATAAAAGTAGAAGGTAGAAAAGTCAATGAATTAGTATCTACGCAACCGGTGAAGGTACACGTGATCGGTCGATGAGCATCATGTGACTCGACGTCCTTCTATCGACCTTGGAAACAGGGAAGAGGCGGCGAGGTGACCCGGGAGGACGTGGCGTGATATCGTATCCCCGTCGACCTCGAACGATTGCCATGCCATTTCGATTCGGAATTTATATTAGGGACGAAAGGGTTTGGTACTTAATCGAGTACCACGCGGCTCGATCGAGTACGAAGATGTGGAAGTGGAGTAATGGACACGTGGTACGGGTTTCGACTATGGAAAAATACTACCCGAGAAAGAAAAGTGTCCTCGTATTTATCGACGAGAAAATTCTGTGAAGAACAAGCAAAATAAACCAGACAAACGTTGCTTCATACCCAGCGAGACAAGCAAGGTCGAACGTGCAGAGTCGTGCCAGGTGCAGTCGGAACGATCCGCGAGTTTTCGTCACCATCGACGCATTTACACGCGCATCTACCTGGCAATTTCGGCAATTTTACAAGCTGCGAATCGGCGCCATAGATATTTTTTTCCACCCACGGAAAGGCTTAAACACAAACGTGACTTTCTCACGCGCATTTCGTAATCCCACAGGCTGGCATATTCTTGTAAATATGATTGGGCTATCAAAACGAGTGACTGTAGCCTGGCAACAGCCTCTCGTGTGTACTCGAAATAAGTCCTTTGCTTATATTCTACGTTTCGGTACTTCTTTTCATAAACATGTTTGTTTATCCTCCTCTCTCTCTTATGTGGCAATCCCTTTCGGTTAACGCGATTGACAAATCGATTTACGTAAAGCCAATGTAATAATTGATGTTCGTTCCATTTCTAATTGCGTGTCGGAGAAAGGAAGCGGATGGCAAAGTAACCCCTTCCACCTTACCTTTCGCGCAGTTGTATATGCAGAATTGCTAGGTATCGATCGAATTTTGTGGCACGTGAATGAGAAGTGGAGGCGCGACCCGTCCGTGGTATAACGTCACGTGCGCAGTTCGGGAAGGAGAGTGGGGAGGGAGGGAAGGAGGGAGGGTGGAACAGGCCGCTCGAGAGACTCCCGCATCAAGGTCAATTGCAATGACTTCCTCGTCTGCCGCTAGAGCGCGCAGGGTCAGCGTCTACGTTCGTGGAGTTTACTCAACTCTGTTGCTGCCGACTATAGGGTGAGTAGCTGCTCTGTGCCCATTTTTTATCCATCGTTTTCGCATTTTTACACGCAGAATTTACCGTAATCCCGTGAAGATTTTCTCCTCTTCTTTGTAATTTCGGTCACGGGTTACTCCCATAAAAGAAAAAAATATATTGGCGAGGTGTTATACTGTCTGAAATAAGTAACTGCGACCTGTTTCCGGTATAGAGCCTTCTACCATATGTACTCGAAAAGTAGGTTTCTATCGGGAGAATTTATCGAAAATTTTGATATTTCTATGCTCCTCCGGTTTTAAATTCCCGTTTTTCTTTCTATACAAGAAGAGAATTGTGTTCTTCCTTTGTATTTAAAAAAAAAAAGAAGACGGGTTTTTTTCTTTCGCTTGTGTTTTTAACTTGTTAGAAGATACCTTACTCAATTAAAATTTGGAAGTGTATTCAATTAAGTAGATAAGGACTTTTTAATGCTTTCTGTGATTAAAAATAGGTATGATAATAATCTCCGCATCTATATTAATCGGATAGAATCGAGCCTAGTGTATAGAAAACTATACATTGGGGTGTTACGCTTGTGGCAGTGAGTGGGCACTTTTTGTTTCAAGTTCAGAAGCGTTATGATATTACACTCCTACTTACTGCATACGTCACAAGTAGTTTCCTATATTCCTATTTAGGATGTATGTGTCTCCCTTCTTTCGTCTGGAGATCGCCGTAGATGCAGTATGCCAGCTCACGTGTTTTCTCTTGTGTGGCTGCCTGGCACTCGGCCTCCGAAGGTCGTTGTCATCCCCCGGGGCTCTAAGTACTTGTGACCCAACGGAAAGGGTTACCGACCCTCTCCGAGGTCGCATCGGATAGAAACAGAGGGTTGATGCCCTTTATTTCGATACCTTTCGGGAAATCTAAAATTCATTGGAAACAACGTCGCAGAAAAACATCTAGACGTCATTTAGACTTTGTTGCGTCATACGTTGGCATTTTACAGAGGGAGATGACGTCAATGCGTGCGTCAAGTCTGATAAATTACGTAAAAACAAATTTTCGTTTTAAACTTTCTATTAAAAGTTTTGTCTGGAGATACGAGAAATCCAGTTGAAAAATTATGAAAGTAGGAAAACAAAAACAAGAAAAGTAAATGTTTTTTTTTATTATTTTAATTTTATTTATTTTGTCGGCGGAGATAGAATTAATCTAAATTCTAAAATTTTAAATTTCTTTTCTTATTTATAATAATTAATTAGCCTTTATTCTATTGCTCTTTTTCTCCCCTTACTTTATATAAGATTAATCTGTTTTCCTTCTCTTTTCCTGCGCTATAAATATTATATATATATAGAAAATTTATTAGTCGTAGCTTATTTATTATTAAACGTATTTTTAATTTAAAATGTATCTTTTTTTTATTTTTATACAATTTATTTTTAAAATTTATTTATAATACTTAAATGATTGTTGTTTTTAAAATAACCCGTGTAAGACGAGAACTTATGTACAGTACAAGAACTTCTAAATNAGCAGTTGTGGTTCTAACCCGAGTCCTCCATCTATAGCAAGATCAAATGGCAGTTCTTCGGGATATAGTACAGGGGGTGATATCTCGTATGCCCCCTTCTGCTTGAAAAAGTTACAAGGTCGTCATTCGCCCACTTATTTGCAGACTTCTCCCGAGAATGTGTCAACTAGATCGCCTAGTCCATCGACTCAGAAGACATTTGTAAGGACATTCTATAGAATATTTGTGTAATTTGTTCGGATTTCAAGAAAAAATACACGTACATTCGGACTTACGAAACTGTAATTAGGAGAAGTTTTAAGAAAAAGAAATCATTTTCGCTCTCAAATTACTCGATTGCGTAGTGTGCAATAGTCGATTTTATCTCCCCCTCTTCTCTATATATAAGCTTTGGGAGTTGGTGATATACCAAATAAAGTTGTTTGTTTGTTGCTCCACCCTGTTCCAAACCAAGTTGTGAACGTTCACCGAATCGTCACTCCAATAAAGGAAGTGCGAGAACGTTGGCGTGAGAATCACCTAAGGTCGTCCTGGTGACTGGCACAATTCCAATTCTTGTGTCTATCGAATGGAGAAGAAAGTGTAAGGTGATATTTTTCCGGAAACTTGCTTCAACTAGATTATCATTTTTTTTTTTTTTTTTGCTCGATGTCCTTGGAGCAATCTCCTGCCGTTTCCAAGGTCATGACATTCTGTTTGTTTCGTGTCGCCTGGTATTCTTCTGTTTGCTACTCGAAACGTAGTCTGTAATTTATGTAAACCTTCGTTACTATCGTTTATTGGATTACGTTCTATAGAAAGTTCGATCGTTGGAAGGAAACTCCGATCTTTGCAGCACGTGTATATCATATCTGCGACACGTGCTGTGTATATCTAGTCACGCGTAGTCATTTTCCTTTGGCATCCTGTTTCGACACCTTTTCCTGTCTGCTAGAAAGATAATCGTTACTTAGGAGAACAAACCCGTGTAAATTTATACGTAGATCTTATTTAATTAAATTATCGTTTAATTTAACGAATAATTTATCGAAAAATTATAATGTGAACGTGGGGAAAATAAGGTAGAAATCATTCGTAAAATCTCCAACAGCTTTTAATATAATTAATAAATTTTAAAAAATAATTGAAACGATACAGAATTTAATGGCATATTTTTTTTTTCTTTTAAATTCATTTATTTCCTTCGAGTCTATGGGAATTTTATGTGTTAAAAGAATGACGTGGAGCAACTCTGCATTCTTTAATCGTACAGAAACAGTTTTTTCTTTTTTTATTTAAAAAAACGTGAGAAAATTCCAGTATAGTGAAATGTTTAAAAATGACCCTTTATCATTTAATTTTAGTATATGTAATAACGAAATTACACCTGTATCATTGTTACATTGTTCACTATAATGGTTTAAAATTATAAAATTGATATGTTTTACACATTTTGATGTAGTAACGAATAAGGAATTCGGTGCCATTCAGGCAATTCACACGTTTATCTCACTTCTAGTCGACTAGTTGTATTAACCTTCGCATCCTCGTTGGCACGTGTCCATTGATAATTAAATTAAAGGAGGAAACTATGTCACAATTATATCAATTCTATTTTAATTAATGAGTAGTTTATATATTGTGTATGAATATTTTTTTTTAATATTATATAATATATTTTCTGGATGTGTAATTAATTAAATATTTCTTTTGAAGGATCCCATGTCTCATAGAATCATAGAGAAGAGGAGGCGAGACAGAATGAATAACTGTTTGGCCGATCTGAGTCGTCTCATTCCTACAGCCTACCTGAAAAAGGTACTGCCATCTGATATCCATTTATGAAATTACTATTTATTAAATTGATAGAATATTTAGTTTGACTGAAGAACTTCAAGGGTTTTTATTTACTTTTTAGTCCATTTTTTTTAAATAAAAAATAAATGTACTAACAAGACTTAAATTATGCCGAATGTTGAATTTAATTTAATTCAAGTCTGGTTTCAGGGTTGCCAGATTATAATAATACAGCTGTATTTACTAATAACGTGAAGTAAGAACTTAAAACTGAACACAGAATGTGTGTTTGTGTTTGCACAACTTATATATGAATTTATATGTATATATATAAGCCCATATATACATTATATTATATTTTTATAAATATTCTAGTTAATGCTTTGGTTTAAAATAAAAATAGGTATCAAATACTCGCCATTCATAAAATTTTACGGCTAAAATCTGGCAGAAATATTTAGAATTGTTGTTATAGTTGAATGTTTTATTATAGTAATAGTGTTGATATAATTCGCATATCATGTTACGTATTATTGCATAACAGTATTGTTAGGCTAGAAGGTTTTACAAGAAATTAATTTAATGATCTTTTTTAATACTGATCTTTTCTTTTTTTTCTCTTTAGGGTAGAGGTAGAATTGAGAAAACTGAAATCATAGAAATGGCCATAAAACATCTGAAACATTTGCAAGCGCATTCATGCAAAGATCCGAGTAAGTGGACGATTATAAATATATCAAAAATTTACGAGGTGAATGATTAAATCTGATGACAATATTGATTTGTTTAATTAGATAATTGTGAAGTCGCTAATGCTGCTGAACAAGATCGGAAACATCAATATCGCTTGGGTTTCCAAGAATGTATGTCTGAGACTGTGAGGTTCTTGGTTGAAATTGAAGGAGTATACGCTGGAGATGGACTTTGTGTAAGATTAGTGAATCATCTACAGAAACACTTCGACAAAATCGTTGGAGGTTAGCAAAGTTTAATTATTTTGTCAATATTAAATGGTTTATTTTAATATTCAAAACATTAACGAAATTTTAAACGTTTTTTTTAAGGAATGGGTTTTAATCAGCATTCGGACTTTAGTATTACTTTGGCTGAAGAATCAAGGGATACTTCAATGGATATCTCTAATTCGCCTTCTCGTGCTCCCACACTAGATTCGTATCCGCCTACGCCTGCACCTATTTTGACTCCCGTATTAGAAAGTTCCGTTTGTCATCACGAGTCTAGTGATGGTGAACCGCCAAAAATGGTACAAGAATGTGGGCGAAATGACAGTCCTCCGACAATAAGGCCATCGTCTGAAGGTGGCAGTCAACTTAGAGAAATGCTTCAAAATCCAGGCTTACCTAAAGACTTAGTGCGTAGTAGTACGTCTTACACAATTCAGGACCACAAATCCGACGAAGTTTATAAATTTAAAAATAACATTAAACATCGTTTTAATGCCGATTTAAGGCATCACACTCTAGATGACGACAAATCGCATTCGGATTCATATTCTCCACAATCCAAACAGCAATCTTTATCTCAAAGAAACTTAATTAGATCAACCTATCCCGCGCACTCCACTTCTGTTTCTACTACTTCAGAACTAACAGTTAAAATTCCTGAAAGGATAGAAGGTTTGCAAAATTCTCATTGGGAAAACCAAGCTGACTGCGGAAGCAGCAGTTGTGGTTCTAACCCGAGTCCTCCATCTATAGCAAGATCAAATGGCAGTTCTTCGGGATATAGTACAGGGGGTGATATCTCGTATGCCCCGAGACTGCGTTCTCAGTTACAAGGTCGTCATTCGCCCACTTATTTGCAGACTTCTCCCGAGAATGTGTCAACTAGATCGCCTAGTCCATCGACTCAAATAAGGAATGGAGTACCCATTTTTGCTCTCCATCCTAAAGGAACCTATTACATTCCTTTGACTATAGATGCATCGTTAGTGTCTGCCGCTTTCATTGGCTACGAGGACATTATACCCGTTTTACATCCAGTCAGCATTTCTGTGAACTTTTGTCGTCAGTTGAAAGTGAAGATAAACGGAATGCAACCCACTTGGGAGTACAGGCCGTTTGTACAGGACAAATACAATGTCTATACGGATAGCAAAACGAATGTATCTTTCGGTTGTGGCGACACCAACCACAATTGAGAACATTTACAGATTTGAGAAAATATAATACAGAAAAATCGGCACATTTTCACATCCCATTCACTGCTTTCATATTCCCAGAGTCAATGGAGTTTGATGAACTTTCGTACAAATGTACTATCCCATCCTTCATGCCACTTTGGCGTTGTTTTTTTTAAATCAAAACTTCCAGTGCCGCGGTTCCGGATATAGAAGATCGTATTACGGATTGTGGTTTGATTGACAATCGGAGAATTATTGTACATAGTAATGTCAATCAGACTATATTGTTACATATACTTCTGTGAATAACTATTGTAATCTTACGCTAAAAGCAAAAATTGTCGCTAATAAAATGCCTTGTATCTATTTTACTACTGGGTAATTTCTTAAGAATTTATTCCCGCATGTTGAATTTGTTTATTAGAAATACCATTTGATATACAAACATATTTTATGCAAATTTTAGTTACACTTTCTTAGTAGGTACTAACTTGGTAGCCCTGTTTAGAGAAAAATAATAATGTTATTCTTGCATGTTATCACAATAGTGACTGGCAAAAAGAGTGGGATGCCCATAGGCAGAAGTAAATTGCAAAGGGATTTGATAAGCCTATTTCATTACGAACGAGCATTACCTAGTAATGTGAAATATATAAAGTGAAATAACTGTAATATATCTTTCAAAATTATCAAATTACTTAGGCCCACCATTGAAACCATTGAACACTAGCAGTTGATCCTGACCAACGGGCTGGCCACGTGGAGTTTCTCGGATTTTCATGTTTCTAAAACTTAAATAAGTTTCATTTCCCATAAAAGACCTCCAGGGAGGCCAGTTGGCCCATGTTTCGAGTTGCCGTAAACAAATAAACCAAACCAATCAAATTGCTTAATATTATTTCCTTTTATTTTTAATATTCCAACATTTTTATTAAAAATATGAGACTTTTTCGAAGTGGTATAAATCTAATTTAAAAAAAAACGATTTAAAGCTAATTTCAGTTACAAAATAATGTCTTTTTTTTATATAACCCACCCTACCCTCAAAATTAAGCTTTTTGCCATTTTATAATAATTTTAAATATATAAATTTTAAAAATAAAATATCATAACAGATGGCGCCACACGCAATTTTTATTGTTTTTTTTTATCGGAAAGTTACGCAACTCATTGCTGGATTTTTTAAATAGTAGTAGGAGTATACTTTAAAAAAATTTAAGCAGACTATGTTATTCAGTTGAATTAAAGTATCATTTTATAACACTAGAGTTTATGAGTGTAGGTATGTCTGTGTTTTGTACCATTAACTGGTAGCACTGTTTTTCAATTTCAGAAAAAAATAAGCCTACTTTTTATATATATAAAATGGACAAAATGTCTGTGATCCATCTAGTTAAGATTTATGCGTAATTTGATCAAGTTTTGGCAACGCTGGTTTAGAAGATCGCTGTTGCTCACACGAATAATTTGAATACAGTCAGAACTTTTAACAACGGCCATTGACAAGAACATTAAAATGGCTGTTGTTTGAAGGTTATTTTATATGCATGTTTAACGGTTACCTTCCGCATGATTAAAGGTAACCGTTATTGCAGGTTTGACTGTAATAATACAATAGAAACTTGATTATCCGGACTAATTGGGGATGAAGGTGGTCCGGATACGGAAAAATTCGGATAATCGAAACAAATACTTTAATTTGTCTTTTAATGATAATATAACACGTTTCCTTCTGATGACATATCGGTAATATTAGAAATAAATACTGTATTTAAATCGTGATCAAATTTTCAAGAAACAAACGTTCGTATTGAATTTGGACTACTACTGACCAGCGTTAACAGACTACCTATTGTTTAAAAGGCACTCTGGTGGCGCAAGAAGACGGAATTTATAAAATAAAAAGCAGTTGAAACTGCATTTTTATGAATAAAAATTTGTCAAACTATTTATCGTTTTATGATGAGTAAAATTTTTTCGTCGCATTCGCGGCTTTTAAGTACCTGTAATGTATAAATCTTCGAGGCGCGAGGCCCTTCGGACCACGAGGCATAGGCGGTGCCCACGTCGTCCATGCCTTACGCTGCCCTTGGTCATAGAAATGATGTAATTTGAATATAAATTATTTACAAATACGTATGTCAAGTTATACAGTACTTTTATTACGACGTAAAATATATTTAAGAGTTTATCACCACGGTGCTGGGTGAGACGCTGTTAAAACAAAAAAAAATTATGCATTCCATCACGTACAGTAAATAAACAGTGTCGTAATTCGCCAAGTGCAAATCAGCAAATTCGTAAAATTTTTGTTTATTTTGAACAATCCGGATAATCGAAAATCCTGATAATAGAGGCCCGGATAATCGAGGTTCTACTGTATAATCATAATATTCAATTTATACGTAATAAAAAATATACTTTATGTACGTTCGAGATATTTCTATTTCCAATCTTTACTCAGGCTAGCGGATTATTCCTTTAATTAAGGCCCAAGATACAATTTTGTTGTAAGACCCTTTATGTAAAAGTATTTTTTTATATTAAAAACACAATAAAACCCTTAAATAATGATAAAAAAAAACTTTTAAAAGCTTTTTAAACGTTCACTAAATTTTAACAGGCATATTATATTTTGCTACGTAATTTTTGAGGCCCCTCCAGACCACAGTCTCTATTAACAATACATACACTAGGCGCCCGCTTATTGGTAATCCGCTACTGTCTTTCCTTTCAGTAGAATTAGTTTTTTTTTAAAATTATTTTTTGAATATTAATTCATTGCTTTATCAATAGATTATTAACGCTCTAGATACTCAGAGTTTCGGATTTTCTTCATGTGTCTAACACCTAAGTAGAAGCCAGTTTCCCATAGAAAACCCTCCGGAAAGGTATACCCCTTTGGCAGCGTTGCCTTCACGTATTTCACGAATCCAATATAAACAAATATTTACAAATGTTAAAAAATATTTATTTATTTATTTATTTTCTCCTATGTTTACAGCTCCAAATTGGTGTTAGGTGTTCATCCGTTTTACTTGTTGACAACAATGGCCGAAACGTAACTTTTGCAATATTCATTTTCGATAAAGCGTCATTTACATTTAAATTTCATTAAATTTACGACCCAAAGCACGTTATATATATATTTAATTTGTATATGCAGTACGTACGTACAGTAAGTATTCTTTAAAGCAGATAAACAATAACCATATCAATATTGTATAACGAATCGATATAAATGTACTGTACCTATACGTAATGTGGGTTAAGGTTAATTTTGTATTTAATCGAAAGAAAATATACAATTTGTCATACATAAATCAATAATTGACCTAGTATAAGTTTATACAGGACATTGCTGACACGAATAATGCAACCAAACAAAAAATAGCACATCAATTAGATCACACCGGTGAGAATTATTCGAGTCCATTATTTCTAATAATTTTGGTAATTTTTTAATACATTTTCCACCGAAAAGTCAAATTATCAATTATTAGGAACGACGTAAACAATGCACAAGTGAGGCAATAACAGTTGAAACAATGATAAATAAATTAATTCGGATTTATGTCTGCTTATTTAAGCGATGCAGTGTTTTAGACAGGTAAAAAACTTTATAAATAATCTTCTAAAATATAAACGTAAAGAATTTTAGATGTATAAATAATATATAAAAACAATCTAGTGATTAATTTTAAAATGCCATTTAAAGATTACCTGTAATGACCTTATATACAGGACTACAAAGAGATAGGACAGACCCAATACAGCTTCCTCTACTACGTATCAATGAAATAATCATGTAGTATTTAAATAACAAAACAAAGCTTTAAAAATTTGTCAAAATTTATAAAGATTTTGATTTTATGTACAGTAGAGCGTCGTTTATCCGAATCAATTAGGGACTGGGGTTGTTCGGATAACTTATTTTTCGGATAACCGATTACACACGAAAAAATATACAGTAGAGCGTCGTTTATCCGAATCAATTGGGGACTGGGGTGGTTCGGATAAGTTATTTTTCGGATAACGAATCATGTACGAAAAAAATATATTAATTTATCTCATGTTAAAATTTTTCTCCATTGCGTGTCGCTTCGCGTTGAATTTTCGTCGATGTTAAGCCTAACGAAGACTATTGTATCATTAAAAATTATTTTTTTATTTTGTACAAACAAAATAAATATATTGAAAAATATAAAAACAATAAAAAATTTATACTTCAGATGTTAATTTAGTATCAAAAACGTAAAATATTTGAGTAGCCCAAGAAATAGCCGAAGATTGCAGCGCCACAGCACTAGCGAAAATTTAAATTTGCCAACTGGAATGATTTTCGGATAACAGACGTTTCGGATAACCAGCTTTCGGATAAACGACGCTGTACTGTATTAACCTATCCCGTGTTGAAATTTTTCTCCGTTGCGTGTCGCTTCGCGTTGAATTTTCGTCGATGTTAAGCCTAACGAAGACTATTGTATCATTAAAAATTATTTTTTTTATTTTGTACAAACAAAATAAATATATTGAAAAATATAAAAACAAATAAAAATTATACTTTAGGCCGACTGTAATTCTTTCGGATAACCGACTTTCGGATAAACGACGCTTTACTGTATATATATTATAAAAAGTTTTTTTATAACAAAATCTCATAAGAGATGGCGCCACACGCATTTATCATCATTATTATTAATAATATAAATGTTATTTTTTAAATGAAATCTCATAACAGCCGGGGATGTTACTCAACTCGTTGCTAAACGTTTTTAAACACTTATACTAAATCAAGCCAATAGATTTTCTAAAAATATCTGAAATTACCAACTTTTCTTCAGGGTTAGAAAAATGCCCTACAGCACATCAAATTATTCTTAAATCGGATAATTATTCTCAAATTGGCAACGTGAAACTGTGGTACCACCAGTGCCTCATATTGTTTACGTCTGCCACAGTTTGCTTGTTGTGGCTGATGTATTTATTATCATATTACCATTTTTTTTGCATTAGTAAAGTCCTCCCTGAAGGCATTTTTCCATTGCAGATAGCCCAAACTTTTACATTAGTTTCGTTAGTTCAGCAAATCCGCTAGTCCGGCACCTGACTGGTTCCAAGTTTGCCGGATTAGTGAGCTTCAAGCTATACTACATATGTGTATACACATACATATATATTGTTTCCTGATAAGTAATTTGTTGACATTATAGTAATTAAATCAAATTATTTATTCAATTATAAATTCTTGAATTTAAAATAAGACTTAACAATACATACACTAGGCGCCCGCTTATTGGTAATCCNAGAAGCTTATTTATTATAAATATCAAATTTGAATTTAAAACTTTCATCATAAATCATTCACAATTATTCTTTAAAAATTCATAATAACTGTACAGAAAGTCATTTATTAACTATTTTCATTGCATTTCAATATAATTTGCATATTAAAATTTTATTTAATTATTTAATTAAAAATTATACTAATTAAAAATCAAATTTGAAGATTTATTAAAATAAACTTTAATATAATAGCGTCATATAATACTTTCAAGCAATAGCTTTATCTGAGGAAGCACAGAGAACCCCTTACTTTGTAAATAAATAAATATGTAAAAGAAAATTTTTAAAGTATAATAAACACACTTATACACACGTATATATATTATCTATGAGTTTATTTTTTATTTTATTTATTTTATTAATTAATATATAAATTTAGGCTCACTCTTCATTCACTGCTCCAGTGGATAATACAGTGATGAAACGAGCCCCACTAATATCGACTCTAGTTACACTACTTACTGCCTACGTATCACGTGTTTTTACATAAAATCGTGATACGAAGAAGGTTCTAACATTTACTTTACATTAAAAAAAGTAAATATTGGGGCTTTCTGAATACAAAGCCTTGTTGACTCCCTTTATCACGACTTGATTATGGATACTATATCTTATAATAATATATTTAAAAAATTTTAAAAAAATCGAAATACTTAATATAAAGCTATGTAACTATAGAAATAGATAATCAGAAATAAAAATACCTTATAAAATTTTGGTTTTATACAGTATAATGACGAGAACGTTTATCACAGTCGCCATCTTGTGGTGTAGCAAGTAACTAATTTTATTAAGGTTTAAAAAAAAGTAGAATGATTGGGAATAATTTATAAAAATACCAATTTATTATAAATCTCTACGAGAGTTTAATTAACGTCTTATAAAAACTGATACAGTATTAAATTAGAAATTAGAATTTTATATTCTAAATAGAAATGTATAAAATTAACAAGGGATCGGTGCGAATATTTTTGTATTATCACCCGGTTGTTCCATTGTAGTCATAGAGAAACCCATAATGGGTATGACTAAAAAGAGCCATTTAGTGACCCATAGGCAAGGTAATGGTAAGCTCGGCAATTCTTCTATGGAGGAACATTATTTTGATTTTCAGGGTTATCTAACGAATGGGATTATGAATTATCTTTTACGCGGGCACAATGTTACCTCGATTGTGTTAGCACGTGGCCGAAGACTATACTGAAGCCATACCGAAAACAATAACATTGTACAGTACTTTTATGAATGGAACGTTATTATTCTTTTATGTTCTTCTTTGAACTTTTAATATATTCTGTTTGTTTAATGTTTTTTTTTTTTGGTACAATTAAATCATGCTTTCGTCCTAAAAATCATACGTGTGGTTGAAATACGAACGTCATATTCGAAGTTACAATACGAATGTTTGACATAACGGAAAAAAGAAAACCGAATTCCAGTTCATTTAATCCCCTTACATTTTTAGACAAATTACTTAATGATTAATTAGCCTTAAATAGTCCTTTTGTAGGTGTCTTTAATTTTTTTAGCTTAAAATTTGCACTGAAAAAAAAATACTTTTACAATTTTTAAATAATAAAATTTATTTACTTTATATCTTAATTATTAACAATTAAATTTATTTATTCCAAATTGTCATATCCTTATTTCGCGTTTGATAATTTATTACAAATGGATTTTAAAGTACTAATACTACTACAACTAATAGTAAATTATAGAACATCCTGATGGCCGAATGAGTAAGGTGGTGTTTTCTGATCCGGAGGATCCTAGTTCAAATCCTGATATCTCTCAGGAATTTTTCAAGATTGATTATGTGTTTTTCTTCCGTTTTATAAAGTTATACGAAATAATACTTAAATATAATGTAAAATCTCAAAATTATGATTGTTTAACAACATACCATCACCAAAACAATGCAACTTGTAAAATTGATCCTAATTTCCCAAAAGATTACTTTAATTGTGTTTTCTTTAATATTTTCCAAAGCGTGGTCGAAACTGTGGTCGTTGAGGATATGATTCTGGTTGCCATCGACTGTTTTGTGTCCCCTTACTCCAACTAGATGGATTTGGAGGAGACCAACCATACTGATTATATCCGTAATATTGATCTTCCATTGGAGGCGGAGACTGCCTCGGAGGAAAAGCAAATTGAGATGGCATATTAAAATCGTGAGGAGGTTGTTGATCGTTATAAGATGACATACCAAATGGTCTCTGCCCCCACCCACCAGATGGATGAGGATTATAATTACGGCCACGTTGAGGCCACGAACACCAAGGAGTATTTCTTGGAGGGTTGTATGATGGCGAAGGTGGAGCATTTGGATAACCTCTCTGGTTCCATGATTTGCCATCAGCAGGCATTGGAAAAATGTTTGGCGACCAGTTTGGATTCGTTGGATATGAACGACTAGGAGGCATCCACGGCATAGCCCTATTCATCTGATTACGATGATCAAAATTTCGATTATCGGGAGGCCATCCTCCTCTCCAAGATTTATCCTTTCCTGATTTGGGATAATAGTTCGATCTCCAACCAGATGCTGGTGAAGGTGGAGGAGTGGGATAAGTTTTTTTTGGAATAAAGCCTTCCTTTTCTTTAAAATTTTTATCGGTTTTCTCTACAGACGTATTATTTTTAACTTGGCCATCATTTTTATTATTAGTTGAAGTATTGCAATTTTCGACCTTACCAGTTTCTTCACTTATAATGTCGTCTTCACTCGAAAAAGTTTCTTTGGGAGCATCGTTCGTCAAATTGCGAGAAACTGAAGTTTCTGTAGGAACAGCGTGCTCTTGGCCATCTTCTGCTTCTATGATATCGGAATGAATTTCTTCCCATTCGTCCCTCAAAGCAGTAGAGTCGTTTTCAAAAGCACTTTCAACAGAAGATCCAGTGTCATGTGCACCTTCATCGAGATATTCCGGTTCTTCCGAAAAAATAAGTTCTATTTGGCCCCAGAAATCAATTTGAGACTGTGCTTCTAACATGGATTGTAGAAGACACTGGAAAATAAAGAAGCAAATATGTCCCATTATCAGTACGTGCTGAGTTCTATCATAAAAATGAACTATATATATAAAGATATAGTATTAAAATAGAACTAGAATGATAAATATGAGCATTTAGAAGCTGTTCAATCCTAGTTTCGGAATTGGGCCAGCATTCGATACTAGGAAAGCCCCGTATTCTTTCTTGTTCTCAGCTGTGCAAATCGAATGGCGTGACTGTATCTTGATTGAGAGAATTTTTTTATATCAAATAGAGCTATCTGGAATTATTTCAGATAGCTCTATTTGATAATGGGTTGAGAGAAAAACAAATAAGTGTTAAATTGTACTACTTTAATTGCCATTTGCATTTTTACTACAATATTTAAAATTACTGTATACAGTGTTTATATATATTTGCACGATTATACTTACAGATTGATGACCTAGCAAAACAACAAATATTTATAAAAATTGTGCCATATATAACATAAAAATCTATACATAATACAAAGAAACAATACACACAATGAGATAATTTGAAATAATCTGTTTTGATCGAAATGCAGCTCTTCGTATGATTTCAGAACATCTTCAAGTAAATAAAGAAACAATTTACCAATAATAACGTAAGATTTACAGAGAAAAAAGGTGTGAGTGGGATCTGTTTCACATTCCTTAATCAAAGACGAATGACGATATATAGGATCCTGAAGACAATGACTGGTCATGGGGCCTCCACGGTTCTCCTTTTATTATATTCCTTTTCTTCTTTTATGTACTTAAATTTGCGTAAATTGATGTTCTAAACTTTATAATTATAGTTTTATTATACAGATTTCGATTCGGGTCCTTTTTTACGGGTTCGAGCCCACAGCTAAGGCCCTAATTTTCACTCCCTCTTGTCGGCTCTGTGTTTGTGTATTTATATACTCTGTTCAGTGAAGTGAACCTTGTACTCGTTACGTTAAAGATATGAGTAAGTTTTTCTAAACAATGAATTCTCAGAACAACGTCCCGGCAATGTTGTTTGCAGATTGATGACCTTTTAATGTCAATAATAATTGATGAACAATTACTATAATTCGCTTCGTACATTTGTAATTTTGTTATTTAGAAATTCTGTAATTTATATTAATTGTCTATTATTTCTTATTGTTACATCAAAAACTGACTTGAAACATTGTTTACAGAAGAACTCCGATTATATTCAGTGTCCACGTATAAAACTAAAAAGTAGAAAATAAAAACAATTAAAGAAAAGGTATTTATGAACATAAATGAACTAAAAGATAAATAAACTGGCAATGAGTTGCTCAACTTTCCCGGCAACATTTAAAATTTGGTAGCCCCATCTGCTATCATATTTTATTTTAAAAACTTGTTATATTTTTAACCATTCTAAATTGATAAAAAAAAAACTTAATTTTGAGGGTAGCAATGAGTTTTATATAAAAAATTGTAAATGCTAGTAACGAGTAAATCATCATTAAGTCCGACTCTAGATATACACGACTGCATAATCTCCCCACCCCTCGACCTTTAACCACTGAAATTTATTAGCATCAGTCTCCCTAATACACAAACTTCCCTGCAAAATTTCAGAAATTTTCGAGTAAAAGCATAGGAATTATTAAGCTTTAAATTGGGTGAACAAAATTGTGCCTCTCCACATATACTAACATACAGAAATTATCCCCGAATTTTTTTTGCATTTTTCGACGTTTTAAGGTGTTCAGAATTGTAAAAGTCTGTGGAGGGGTATTTTTTCCGGATCGCCATACTCTTTTCCTCTGTTATAACAGCCGGGAAAGTAAGTGTAACTAAGAATATTTAAACATAAGAACGAGAGTGTGCCAATCACCGGCCTGATAGATAAAACCATTGAACACTGGTCGTGATTTCGAGCCTAGCCAATGGCTAGGCACGTGGAATTTTCCGGGTTTTCTTCGCATTTGTAAACACCCAAACAGGTGCCAGTTTCTCACAGAAAGTCTTCCCGGGAGGCTTTTCCCCCTCGGCAGATAGGCCACGTGTCGCCAAATAAAATTAAACATGAGCACCTCACGCTTTTATTTTTGGTCGTATAATACCGAAAATACTGGAAAAAAAGTTTTTACTGTACTGTAAGTGGCATGATTTGATTGAATGGGATTTTGATATTGCACAAGCATTTATTTTAATACGTTTTGTATTATAATAAAGTAAGAAAGACGAATAGTTTACAGCGCTCGATTTTTATATGAAACTAGCTTACCCGTCGCTCATTACTGCGATGTCAGAAGAAACGAAATTCGAGCAAACTCGTTATGATAAAATTAAATTTACATTTTATAATTTTTATTGAAACTTATTATTATTATTCATTCTCATCGGAAAAACATTTCAAAGTGTCGTTTCAATTTTATTTATTTATTGGAGTGCTTTATGGATACACGATATTTTTTGTTTTTCCGTCTGGTGTGTACACGAATAAATCAGAAGATTTTCCGACTCCTGAGCTGGCCACATACAGTTGTCCATGCGAGAAGCACGGATTCTTTAAATTTAGCCCACACACTCGCAGAGATTGTTAGAAGTGCGATATTCCCCATTTTTATATATTTTTTAAAATCTATACTAATATTATAAAGAGGTAATGTTTGTATGTTTGTTTGCAGCGGGTAATCTCCGAAACTACTCATCCGATTTCAAAAATTCTTTCACCAATATTTATAATGGAACTTCAGGATGGACATAGGCTGTATATTATTTTGTTAAACATTCATATAAATTAAAATATATAATCTAGGTTAAGGCTTTTATGTCCAACAGATGGCGCTACGAGTACGACGCCCTAAGTTTGCTTTTCTGTGAGGCATTATGCTTTTCTGTGAAAATGAATTAAAGCGGATCATCATCTATCTATTTATATAAATAAAAATGTAATGTTCGTTTGTTCCTACCGATTCCTTTGAAATTTCGACACAACGCTGCATTCGAATACGCACGTGTTTTTATATAATATACAGTACGTGTCGAAATTCCCCCCGGGGGAGAGATGGACAGGATTAAGGCTTACCGTAAAGTACTCTGCTTCTATTTTTACTATTTTTGCGGTTTTTTGCGTTTTTGATTGCGTTTTAATAGGGTACGTCAAGAAAATGTACCCTAAGGGATTTTTTCGAAAAGTCCCCCTCCCCCTCCACAGGGGAAGTGTTATACGTTTATAATAGATACATTTTGAGCCACAACAACGCGTGGCGGGGTCTGCTAGTCCTTTATAATTTTGATTATTTAATTGCTCCTTCCTCTCTTGGCATGTTGTGAAATTTCTGATAGTTGGATAATAAACCGTTTTATTATAATTTGTCTTTTTAAATTATTTTGAGTTGATATTAAAATTTGGTAAAGGGATCCCTAGATCGGTAAAATAGGCAAATTTCCTCCTACAACTTCGGTTGTTGTTCGGGATACAGTTAAGGTTTTAACAAAGTTCGAGCGAATACATAATTAGAAAAAAAAGTTGAAATAAAGTGATTAAACAAAAATTATTACAAATATCGTAAATAACAAATGCATATATAGAGATATTTTTGGAGGGGGGAAATGGTCTTCACAATTTGAAATCGATCGAACACACAGAACACACAGTGCTCGTATACATGCGCGTCATCTATCGTAGGATAAATGTACTTCGCGGGAGTGTATTAAAAAACTTCCCAAAGTTTCATGGCAATCGGATAAACGGTGTGGTAATGCATGAAGGATAGACAGACAGACACACACAACACACACACACACATACATTCATTTTTATATATATATAGATACGAAGGTGATCAAAGGTAACAATAGAATGTAAAATTTTCTTTTTGGTACATTTATCTATATTTGAATAAAAACTATTCGTTTCGTGTAAAATAATTAATTTTTATTGAAAGTATTTTTTTTTAAAGTTTACTTGAAATTGTTTTATAAAAATAAGGCAAAATATTCCTTCGTATCTGTTGCTCTTTTTTGACTACAAGACATCAGATCCTAAGAGTGGAAAGGGAAAAACAAATGTGAAATCCATCTCCTTCCGAAAATCATAAAATACAAAAATTAAATCAATAAAACAAATAAAAGCAAAGTTTTCTCGTCACTTATCAAAAGAAACTTTTTGATAGCAAGTTCTTACATAACGAACTAAATTTTAGTAAATCTTTTATGTCCATAGCTACAGCCAAATAGCATTACTATTCATCAATATCTGGGATCCTGGGCCTTCAAAATTCTTCACCAATTTTGGCCAGTGTTACATAAATTCAAATTGTCAGCATTCTTTTCTGATAAATTTAGCAGTTTTTTGAACTTATCCTAAGTAACAAGTGTCTCAAATTCGGTGGCACTAGGATTAGAAATTGCAGTCCAATAATATTAAGCGATCACGACGTAGCTTGACATTTTGAATATTTCAATTCAAAGTGTGTTACGAATTAATTATATATATATATGAGAGATATTAGAATTTTTAGGTGTAATTTGTGAGAAATCTTTATAGCCAAACCAATGTATTTCGGGCGAGTAGCCGAAGAGTCAGTTAGCCATTGTAAAGGCTAAACTGTTGTCTTATTAAAATGCTATATTATTTACAAACTTTGCAAAAAATTGTTCAAAATGATACATAAATATTGAATACTTTAAATTATTTATTATATATTTTTTATTTAAATTGCTTTTGTATGACAATTAGTGTATTTTAAATGTTTTAGAATTAAAAATGTGCATAAAACGTTTTTAAATTATTCCATTTTTTTAAAAACAATCCATACAATTTCAGCATATATATGCAGTTTATCAATACATTTTACTGTTTTATCCAGCAACAGAAATCTTTCTTGAGACCATCTTCAACACCTTCGCATTTCTTTACAATGTCATCCTAGAAAGAAATATAATTTTCTTCGGATTATTGTTGTCAATAATTTAAATGTTCTTAAAGTATTACAATTACTGTATATTATTAATAAATACTGTTTATTCAAATGTTTTTTCAAACAAATCAATTAATAATTAATTGATTTGTTTGAGCGAGACATCAATACATTAAGACTGGGCAGTGAAGAGTTTCTATGGGACATGGAAATAGAGCGGATCACTTTTGCCAGTTTTGTTTTTAACAAATTACGTATGTAGAATGCTTTTTTTTTAAGAATTAATAAATGGTAGTCCTAAAATTTCATTTTTTACTAATAAAAAACAATTTACAGTGATAGGAACCACGACAGGCACTGAAAGTTTCCTCCGGGTCTAGGGAACAATCTGCAGCTTCTCCTCTCGACGGTCCTGAATCAAGACTGTGGTATTCATGATGTCGAAAACGTCGAAGAGCAAAATGTCGAAGCACTAAAAATGCCTGTTGTGTGGATTCCCAAAATCTCCCATAAAACATCGAAATTTTTACTCACTACTGAGCCATTCACAATGCCTATTCAATTCCGTAATGACTAAGAAATAAAGGTCCTATTATCCTTTAGAGAAGAGATGCGCTGAAGGTCGTTGAACAATGTTCTATTACAATTCAATAGTGAGTCGTAATGGAACTTATTGAATTGAATTGTTCGTTTTGATAGGAATCCATTGTAGTCCCATTCGATACTTGCTTACAGGTATCCTAAACATATTCCTTATTTCACAATATAGATATATTGAAAATTAGTAGCTGTTTACTTTTTTGTTAAATCGAGAGGAATATCTAAGTGGTCCGTGGTGGTTCGTCCAGATATGTCAGACCCCCTTCCTTCATTACGGGCCTAGCCCAACACATAACGGGCTTGCTAAAAGTCTGACTAGTGTCCTCAAGACAGAAATAGTCATGGCGCATTATACATTCATGGGGACTCCAGTCAAATTTGAATTAGGGGCCCCACATGCAGTGTTGACTTCAACCATTTTAGTTCGGGGGTAATTCTCTCCAGTATTCTTCTTCTTCTGTTAGTGGGTTTATATGGAGATTTCAGCCGGCTCAGTATTCTCGTTCGTTTTTTAACGTGACCTCTGAGCTGTGCAAGTGCACTTTGAATCCTGCGCCATACCGAAAATCTAGAGTCTCCAGATATGGCCTAAATTTAAATTTCAATATACTTAGTACAGTAATGAGTATTTAAAAGACTAGTTTGGAGCCCCCGGACAATTGCCCTTTTTGCCCATAGGATAACGCTCAACTGGGAATAGTTAAAAAAAGAATATTCTAAGTTTAAATTGAAATTAAATTTATTTTTAATTATTATATTTATCATTAGATGGCGACATAATGGCTTACCTCCAGCTAAATTGTTTCATATCTAACCATTAAATTAGTCTTGTTACAGTCCGATGAATAATCCGGTAATTCGTTTGGCATTAGTTATATAAATCTTATTACTTTTTGGATCTTACATATATTTTGACGGTTGACCGAGATGGTAAAGATCACTTTCTCATCTGCGGAGCTGGTACATTTACCACGATTTCTAATCCAAGCCGGATATGTCGGATTCATCCGAAAGCTCAAAACTGAACTCATGGTGAGAAGTAAAAAAAGCCATCTTAATGCTTGCAAGATAGGAGTTATAAAATGTTAATTCGAATAAAATTAAATCTCTTTGATGATGCTACAACTCATTAAAAGCAATATAGAATGGCCTCAGTCTTGGCATAAGAACTATTTAACACGCATGAAATTCCAATCTTAACTACAGCGAAACCTGATTATGTGGTCACCTGTATAAGATGACCACTATGAGCCGGTTCCTTCAGTGGTCCTGTATTTACGAACAACCAACAAGATCCCGAGAGCATTTAAAGTTTTAAATTAAATTTGTTCTTAAAAATTCAATGTCATGAATTTACTAAATGATTTATCATCAATTATTTAAAAAATAAAAAAATGGATTAAATCAATATTTAAATTATTAAGCTTTACCTTAAGAAGTTTTGCTGTATTTTTGCAATCGTCTTCATTTTCATGTTTTTCTGGTATCTAAAAATAATAAGTTTATAAATTCATTACATATTGTACGAGTCACTTAAATTTTACAAATACGTGTGCCAGGCTGTGAACTGCTCGCCTATTTGTAAAATCTAAGTGACTCGTACAACATGAAATTCATATAAAACGGAAAAATCAATAGTGTTATAGGGGGTCGACTGTATTAAATTTTTGTAAGCTTCATTGTTTGTTGTAATTTTTTATTTTAAAAATAAAACTTGACAAAACATTATGTTCTGGTTTAAATAAATGAACTATGTATTCTGTACGATAATGTAACTGATCTATTATTTCCATTAAAAGTTTTATAGCACAAAAATAAGAAGAATCATACCTTGTTCCAGTCTGGCTGAACAACTCGATCGGAATCATCCTGAATAAATGAATAAAATTAGAAATTCGTATATATAAAAATCAATTAATGAATTAGAGATTCACATCAGTAGCTTTGTTTAAAATCCCATCCGCTTCCATATCCGCGCAATCTTGCTCTATCTGAAAAGCAAATAATCAGAAATCAAACAAAGAAACTTAAAAATTAAAACATTAATTAAAACATGCCACCACATTAATACGAAGAAGTATCACAAAAGTGTCTTCTTTAATTCCGTTTTTACATATTGAGGCGGGGAAAGTAGCCTATAAAGGAAGGTCGACTCCGCCGTAAGGACTGTTCGTTCCCGAAGTGTATGAAGGACATTAAGAATTACAGAAGACATCTTTATGATACTTCAAATTAATGAAGGAATAGTTTTGATAAAATCATGAGATTATACGGGGTATTCCGCTTAGAGGTATAATAAAAGAAAGTATCATAAATATCGAACTCTTCACAATTTATTAGGGAATACTGTTGTTTCAGATAGACTAATTTAGAAATTTTTGTTATATGTTTAATAAACTTTAATATGAGCTCAACTGATTGCTCAGCAAACGTCAAAACTGTAGTAAGCTCATACGTTGCAAAGCATATCTAACGACACGTTTTTAATTGCAACCCAAATTCTGCCCCATAAGTCTTCTAGATTGTTCCCAGGTGTTGCATACACTTTGTGATTATTAAATTCTCAGAAGAGAAAATCTGGAGGAGATCTGGGTTATGAAGTTCGATCCTTCCCTAAACCATTTTGCAATAAATTAACCATCCAAGAATTCATGGATATTATTGGCAAAGTGTAGAGAAGCCCATATTATTAATACCAGAGGAAAAATTTCGTAGCTGTTCTTTCAATTGGAGCCAATCTTCAGTCAGTCATACTTTGTATCTTTTGACTGTTTCTCTTATTATACCTTTAAGTGGAACGTCCTGTATATTAAAAATTATGAAGTAAATTGTTTCATACCAATAAAATTCGACTGAAACTGTTCAAATTAATAATTGCCATCGTGCTAAAATAATGAAATTATCAGAAGTAAATAAAATAAGTTTGCGTACCTGAAATGTTAATTTTAAGCAGCAAGTCGGTGCTCTCTGTGAAAAAAAATAAAAGAAAATTCAATTTTTAAATTTATTTTTCTTTTTATAATATATTAAATTTAATATAAAAGTTTAAATCAATTAAAAAGATGAATAATTAAATTATCTTACCTTTTGAAAATCGTCTTTGAATTTCATGCAACAATTAATTGCTTCATCTTCAAACTGATAAATTCAAAAAATTCTATTATGAAATAGTAAATACTTACTTTAAACCATCGCGTATTATTATTTTAAAATATATTTATTAGAATTTTTATATAAAAAATAGACTTTCATGTTGTAAATTTTTAATTTTCAGACCATGAAAATTTTTGAGCTTTGAGCTAAATTTATACAAATTTTATTTATTTGTTTTTTAAATAAATAGTTTTTTTCCTTACCTTCATTTGCATTAGTTCACAATATCTGCAGCAACGGAATTTTGTATCTTCATCACAATTTTCTTTAAAATCATCGCAATTTTCAGGTACGTTTCCACATTGTTTGAGTATTTCTATATTGTTTTGCTCGCTAATAGCTAAGGAAAAATGACCCCAAAAATAAAATAAATAAAACGTATATTAATATTTATTTTTTGATAATATTAGGATATAGTAAAAGAGCAGGCTACGGTTAACTTCCTTTATTTCGCTTGTATACGCTAACAGGACACGTCCAAGGACTTTCTAAGAGAAAATGGCTCCTATTTAAATGTTACTAACGTGAAAAAATCAAGAAAAATCCTATGTATAACAAATGTCGTGTGGTTATCTCAATTACAAAGCGATTTCTTATGCTTGTTATAACGTTGTTTGTCATCTCTGTCAAGAGAAAAGTCCATTCTCGAACAAGAGCTTCTTGAAGCTTCTGGAATATGGAGAATGACAGAGGCAACTTGTGTCTCTAAATGGCCTAGAGTAGAGTTGTCCAACCCGCGGCACAACATAAAATCGTAAACTTCCTTAAAATATTGAGATCTTTATGTACTTAGTTTTTAAGTTTTTGAAATTCGCGCGGCATTGTAATACTTTTTTTAACACACTTATAAAGACTAAAAATATACATTGGGCCCGTTATCTAGTAAAGAAGTTTAAAGCCCTTTGTTAAAAGACATTTAAGCAATTTTCGCTTTAAGTTAGCCGCTGTAGCGTTAAGCAGCGAGAATCAGAAGCGCTGAATACAGAAGGTAAGATGACTGCCACTATAAATATTATGTACTGTACCTCAAATAAAACATTTTTGGTTACTTTGCACAAAAATGGACTACCCGTTTTTAGTTTGGCGCACAAAAATCATTTCGCGCATTGTTTACTTTTTGGGCTACAAACATTTGATTTGGCTACATAAATTATATCATCGTTTGTTTCGGCCTAGAATGGCAAATTTACTTGTGTCACTATTACATGTTGTTTTATAGTTTATGTGCAGCTCGAGACAATTTCTTTTTCTTCAAATATGGCCCAAGGAAGCTAAAAGGTTGGACATCCTAACCTAGAGCATTTCATAATGTTCTATGGAATTAAGGTCAGGAAATTTTCTTGACTATTTCATGCTACAAGTCTCACACGAGATTTCAAAACATCTTTTCTGTATCTTCTTTCAGTAATGGCACCTTCAGCTAATGTAAATCAGTTTGTAGACTGAAGCCAATTTTGTAAACAGCGTATTAAGTAAGTGCTGATCTTTCAGACCACTTCCAATTATTTAATAGATCTACATAAATAAGTTTGCACTTATATACAGAAAAACAAATAGATCAATATGATAGGGATCCACAGACATTTTTTTTTATTTTTGAAGTTATTCTAGATTTCAATAGTTTGGGAATTGCTGTTCAAGTATAAAAGTATGCCATATGTTTATTTTGTTACGTACAAAATAATTGTTGTACGTAAATATTCCTAAAAGTAGATGTATATTAGAAGGATTTCATGGTTTTTCTGGAGCGAAATATTATTCCTAACTTGCTTTACAGAATCATTCGTGAAACGAAGAAATTGGATAAGCAAAATGCATTTGAACAAAATCAAATACATCCCCACCGGGATTCGAACCCGGGACCTTTGGATTAGAAGTCCAACACGCTATCCACTGCGCTACAGGGACACGTATTGGCTGGTATTATCAATTTATGTTTAATTTGAATGACATTATGAATTACGTTTCATTCAAACTGTGGGTCAGTAATGGTGCGTTATAGCTTTATGGAACGTAGGAGACTTGAATTAGGGTCCCCTTGCATAGTATTGATTTTATATATTATTTTTTGGGAAAATGTTCTGGGGAAAATTTTTTTTATAAAAGATTAGTTTGGGATCCCTGTTGGTGGGGACCCAACGGAATTACCCTTTGCCCATACGATAACTCGCTATCTGTGGGTCAATCCATTCATTAGTAGTTATGCAAACTTGGTACGAATGTATTACATCGGAGGACGATCAGCTTGGTTTTGTAGAATAAAATGTCTAATACTCTTAACTTTTTAAGAAATATTACTGTATTTCAGTAGATATTTTTTCGAACAAAGTTTACGACATTTGGAATAGTTTTAATAAACATCAAATAAATAGCTTCAAAACGGAAAATCTTAAACACATTTGTATACAAAATGTTAATGAAACGTTAGAAGAATGGAGTCTATCATTCTACTCTGAGCGTGAATAGAAAAGAGACGGTTTATCTTTCTTTTTATTCAATTATTTTCATTACAATTATTTAACTTATAATTATCAAATCTAATAATTTGACATGTTTAAATATTTTAATAGGCTCGTTCCTTTTAACGGCTAGGACTACTTAAGTTTACGTTACTTTGAAAAACACTGCAACATTAAACAGCTACAAAATGTTCATAGAATAGTACTTACATGTCACATTAGTCAAGATCGAATACGATTTTTTTTTTGTAAATTGTATTTTAAGGAAAAATAAAAAGAAATGAATAATATTAGACATATTATTTTAACAATCCAAGCTGATCGCCTAATCTGTTATATTCAAGGTAATAATGAATGAGTAATTACTAACTGTCCCATAGTTTGAATGGAACGTAACTCATAATGTTATTCAAATGTAACATAAATTGATAATATTAACCAATACGTGTCCCTGTAGCGCAGTGGATAGCGTGTTGGACTTCTAATCCAAAGGTCCCGGGTTCGAATCCCGGTAGGGATGTATTTGATTTTGTTCAAATGCATTTTGATTATCCAATTTCTTAAGCAGTTTCATGAATATATGTTAATGATGTGTAAATGTTGTTATACACTAAATAAAATGTGTAACTCTTCCGATTCGCTATCCCGAAGTAGGCCTACTTTTTACCGGTAAGAACGAAGGTACCAATTGTAAATTTGGTTACTCTTGCAGCTGTTCGGTCCATGATTCGGTCCTTCTAACTGTATATTTATAATAAGATGAATATAAATTAAATAATTAAAACTTAAAGTTAAGCCCAGTCGAATTGCAATGTTCGTTCAATGTATTTTTTTATATCTGTGAACTCACAAGTTAGATGACTACTTACGTTATCTGTGAATCTTTATTATAACTTGAGTGATATTATATACATAAATTTCATTACAGATTTGAGTTTTATATAAAGTTTTAAAAATAATTAATTAATTAATCGGATGAGAAGTCGAATACGAGACACCAACAATATGTTGGTGTTTCGTATTCGACTTCTCATCCCGAGATTCGTAGAGATCACAAAATATAAAATATAAATATGGAATATAAAATTAAATGTTACTGGTGCAACTGATGATATTAATGACAGGGGCAAAACGATTCACTCTGAGTTATGGGCAAAATTTAAATAAATATATCCTGACAAAGGCGCTTCTCCCGAGTTTTCATTGCGGGCTTCGCGGTATCTTCTATCCTGTTCCATCCTCTCTCAAAATTGTGTGTTTCGGTCGGACACCCACCTGTTACAATCGAATTTTACCCAATCACTGTATACTACAAACTCCGATTAGAGAGGAGGAGAAGGGAAGATCTCCGGGACAACTGCATTCAGTGGGTCTGGATGGGGAATAATACTTTCGACTCGTACAGTACATTCCATATTAAATTATTAGGTTCGAATAGGATTAACCATATTAACTTATATCTTGTTTATATCAATTACTCTATGGTGGAATTGGTTTCCTTATATGTCGATGATGTTAAGCGACTTGCTGCACTTTACAAGTCTAACACTATCAAATATATGCAGCCGAACTGATATTCTAAAGGAATATTACAGGTATCTGTTATGGCTTAACCTATATTTGTTGGTTATTGGCCTTACCTTCATTAGGCCCGATTTAGCCCAAGGTTTTAACATATGATACATAAAGATTATTACCGATTCTTAAGGTTAATTTTTCTGTTTCATTTCTTTTTGGCCATTTAAGAAAAGATTTAATATTTTTTAATCGTTTCCTGCTTCATTTACCCTGGTTATTCGAATGCTATGAATTTAAAAGAGGGAAGCAAAAGATGATCATTATCATTAAGTTACTGAAGTATCTTCAGTTTCAAATTAGATTCTAGAAAATTTTGAAAGGAAATTTTTCTGTAATATAACTATTTATTAATATTTTCATATTCAATTAGAAGAATTAATTCATTTTTTCTAGAAATTCTTTCTATCTTCTTTCTGTTACATTTACACTAATCGTAATTTATTAAAATGATAAATTAATATAACTTATGTTACTTATCTAACAAAATTATTTCCTTACGAATCGCAGAATTAATATTAAAGTTTGAATGCAAATTTCTCAGAAAATAATATAATAAATCACTTATTTTTTATACTTTGAAATATTTTGTATGATTAGATAATTTAATGCTTGAAAGACTTTTTAACTTACCGCAAAACATAAGAAATAGGAAAGCAGTGATGATTATTTCATGTATCATGGTTATGTTATTTAATTTTAGCAAACCAATACATTTACGCCCGTGAATTATATATATATAAGGTGTATAAGGAAGAAGGAAGAATAAAATGCGTGCATCAACTGTTTGTTTAGTGACAGAAGTTTCTAAGGATTGACGGGCGGATGGACGAGGCGGTTAAGGCGCCAGTCCATCTTTCTGGGAGATCAAGCAAAGAATTCGGACTACTCTCCAGGAATTTCAAGGGCTTCAAGAGTCCACGTAGTCCAGAGTATGTCAGGTTTCAACCCTTACAATTGGTAACGGCTATGGTAGAAAAACATTAAAAATGAAAAAAAAAATTCTAAGCATTCACGACAGAAATTGCTTCTTTAAAAAGAAATCTTATAAAAATTAATACTCTAGCAAAATACTGAAATTACCAGCAATGATTAAAAATAAATTATCTTAAGTATCTCTTTATAGCAATTTAAATGGAAAATAGATGGGTAAAATTTTTAAAAAATTTGAAATTATAATTAAAAATATTTACAACATATTATTTAAATTACAATATAGTTTCCTCTGTAGCTATTAATTTTGTAATATAAAGTTCACAGATAATTTATGGGTAAAATGTCTTAATGAATTATTACAGTTTGAATTAGCAAAAAATGCGACATCTTGTTAATGTCGAAATTGTGTGAATGCACGAAACAACCGTCGATCTTTAATCATGCCACAATTCAATCCATCAAACTGAACAAAACATTTCCTGGTTGAAACCAACAAAGATAACAACTCGATAACAGTTGTTCAAACCATACCCATTTGTACAAAAACACGCCAAATTTTTGCCTATTGTTGTTTATTTTTGTTACTAAATAGTCTTAGAACCTGTAAAAATGTTCATAAAAATCATATAAAAGTTGCTAAAATTGCATTTATGAAGATTTTTAAAATTACAATTTGAAGTATCTAACAGAAGAAACATGGGAATTTATTTTAAATTTAAGAAATTCTTTTCTCGAGTTTCTGATGGGGGTTAAAGGAACTCCATCAAGAAATTCTAGATGCATTTTTCTCTCTGTATTTAAACTAACGTTTCCATCTATTTGTTCTAAAAATAAATTAATAATTAGGAATTCATTTAATGCTAGAAAGAATTAAATATGATTATAATAATTTCAAAAATTTTAAATTAGCATTAATTATAGAGGAAACTTCTGATTAGGGTTTTTTTTTTTTTTCGTTCTTTTTCTTACACATAACTTTAATTAAGTTACTGCGAACGTTATGATTAAATGCGGCATTCATTTCGGCCTCTAACAGTCGCACTTGATACTAATTACGATACTTAAATTAGTGTAAAGAGCTAACATTAATTTCTTCGAAACAATGGGCGTGATGTTTTTTGTTAATTAGAAGCTTGCTGTAATAAAGGAATTATAATTTAAATAAACTTATGAATATGAAGATTGATAAATTCCATTGCATAAAAATTCCAAATTTTAAGTTAATTAACAAGTTGAGTGTGTATGCAAATTAATTGATGACTAAACATTGAATAGAAGATTCGATACTTCCATATGATTTCAGTTATTGTGAGTGACTGCAGAAGAAAACAGTAGGTAAAAAGTGATGAAATTGCTGATGAAGATAATTGATTTTAAGATACAAACCAACAGAAGAAAATATATATTCTGGTATATATTTATCTATCTTATTTCCAGTTAAATATTTTTATACAATAACGTTTATAACATTTAAGTAATAGCCAGTTTCATATAGAAGGTCCTCCACACAACAACGTCAGAAAGCGAGATAAAACTATTTAGTTTGCCTATTTGTCTGTTTACATATGTTTACTTCTAATTGCAATATTTAACGATCGAAATAACAATTAAAAGTCAACGAAAATTGACTACAAAATTATTAGAATCGGCAAACAAAATCATATATTTAATTGCCAGTAATTATAATTAAATTCTCTTTATTCAGCGCTTCCCGAAATAGAATTTAATGAATTCATTACAGTAAAATTTGATAATATATTTTATAGAACAAGAGGAAAATTAAAAAATAATTTTAATTTAAGCAAGTTTATGTTATTCTATAAATGCAAAATGACAGATTCTGACTGTTTAAAACTCGCCTATAAATTAACAATACTTACGTTTTTTCTTCAATAAAGAGCTTTCTAGAAAACAATGGACTCCATAGTAAACACATTTTTGTACAGAATCAGACAAAAAACGGGGAATTATTAATATACGGTTATTAATTTTTGAATATTTTAAAGCGAATTTTCATGTAAAAGATTTCAAAGAATAGTTTGCCATTTATGTTTTGAAGATGACAACACGCAAGTGACTTTAATTCATAAGCAAACACTTCACATGTCAAGCTTAAGATTGATGTAAATTCTCGGGTATTCTCGGGTATGTTGTGCATGAAGAATTTTTTTTCCTTAAGTTTTTCAATATTTTACGTACAAATTATTCTATATATAAATATTATAAATATTCAATAATTCAATATCGTGTGATATCTGAAGATAGTCCACACAGTATTGAAACTCTTAAGGTGCAAAAACCCTCGACTAACTTTATTAACTGCAGTTTTATTCACGTGTCTAACATTAGGTGTTAGACACGTGTTAGACCTTATTGTCTAACATTAGGTGTTAGACAATAAGGTCCAGTTTCTCAGGGAATTGCCTCCCGGGAGGGTAGTCTAGTGTAGGACAAAATGACGTCAAATTGACGTCATTTTCCTGACACTATCCACAAGTATAGTGTCTAGAGTCAGCAAACACTTCACACGTTATGTTAGTACAAGTTTAAATATGTATAAAGTTATTAATTTGCAAATTGCAGCCCAATTTATATGGTCCAGTGAATTTATATCCCTCGATAATAAATTACCTATTAACTAAATGTATTCTTATGGATTATGCTTGAGATGATTCAACATAGCCGATCAGATAATGGGGGGATACATTACGGTTTTATGACCTTATAAAACAATTAAATCATATTTTTAATGTACTGTACAAGAGTTATATAATGTAATATAATAATAAACTCCTACAAAATTTATAATATTTTTTAAGAAGAAAATAAATTTCGGGATGATTTGTTCACCCTGTTTGAATCTTAATAACTCCTGTTTTATGCCGAAAATTTCTGAAATTTTGCAGAGGGTTTTTTTATTAGGGGGATTGATGCTATTCAATTTTAGTGGTTAAAGATCAAAGGGGATCGTGTGTATCTCCGTTAGGGTCAGATCTAACGACGATTTTACTCGTTATTAGCATTTAAATTTTTTTTTTATAAAATCAATCTTTACTCTGAAAATTAAGCTTTTTTCCATTTTATAATAGTTAAGTAAAGTAAAACTTTAGAATATTTACTCACCTTAAATTCGAATCCATAACACATCCACGATTAATTTCTCTGGAATTTAATGTTTCACTTGCGTAAGGGACTGTTAGATTTTTTTTTAAATCGAAAAGTCAATTGCTACATCAAATTTTAATTTAAAAGGAATCTTCAGTAATTTCATTACCCTTTTTTTCATTTTAATGGTATTTTGTTCTAGTAGAATTCTATTAAGGCTAACACGTCGTTCATTCTTTAGTGTCATTGAATGTTATAAACAAAACCCAATATCAGATACTCTTTTTCTATAATTGATTTTTTCAATTTTCAATCTGTGTAAAATTGTTGTGTGTGTGTTTTTTTTTTGTTTTTTTACAAAAATAACAACAAATATAATTTTTTTATTTACGTTTTAAAAAATACGTTTAGAGTTTTTATTTCTCTTTCTTTCTCGCATTTTTCTCTATATATAAAAGTCCTTTTGGTTTTTCAAAGAAGAAAAATCTCCGTTCTTTCAAATGACTCAACTTACTAAAATAATTGCTTATCTACAGCTATACAATCGATTTTTCATTAGACGAAAAAATCGATTACTTGTTGTTCTCTGTACAATTTAATCACTGAAATTCACGTTTTCAATATTTATAGATTTCTTTTTATTACAAGCACATAAAAGCCCTTTTAAAATATGAAGTGTTCTTCTTAAATACAGTATACACCATTGCTATTAGAATTTAATTGATTCCTGAGAAGCGAGTCGTCCTATTTCTCATTAGTATTATAAATTTAAATTATGTTCTTGGAAATATAATTTTAATACTTAATACAAGATAGAAAATTACAAATACTTAACCTAAATAAAACATTTTATACAGTCACAATAGAAAATTTACAGCAGTTTTAGTTATAAAGCGAGATCTATTGTATTTTATATATATCTGATCTTCTTATTTATTATGTATTATATAAAGTATGTCGAAAAATATTCACTCCTACACTTTAATTCGTGGAATAATTTTTAGATTGAATTCATTTATTTAAAAAGCAACTCTGTGAATATCAGAATATGAGAATAGAATTTTAAGTGTTGTGGTGAGAAATGAATAACACATATTTGCTGGTAGATGTGTAGACTGATGGATCAATAGTAAATTTTTATATTATTTTTAATTTAAATACATGTATTTAAATTATTAAAAACGTTAATAATTTATACAGAGATGAGTTTTCTCCAAAGCATATAATTAAAAAAAAACATTCCAGCAAGGAGTTGAGTAACTTTCCCGGCAAAAAAAGTTTAAATTGTGTGTGGAGCCATCTGTTTTAATATTTTATTAATAGTGAAAAACTTAATTTTGAGGTAAAGATGAGTTTTATAATAAAAAAATTGTGAATGGTAATAATGAGTGGGCTAAAATCTTTATTAAGTCCGATCCCATTAGAGATAAGACCAAAAAACTCCCCTTTATCTCCACACCACCTCGATCTACAGTCACCAAAATTTAACAGCATCAATCCCTCTAATATACAATCCTCCCTGCAAAATTTCAGAAATTTTCGACAAATGGCACAGGAGTTATTAAGCTTCAAAGTGGATAAAAAAAAATCGTGTACTATACACTAACATCAATACATACAGAAACCCCCACCAACATTTTTGCATTTCTCGACGTTTCAAGGTCCCCTAAGTACAAAATTGTAAAAATATTTGGGGGAGGGAGTCATTTTTTGATTAAACTTCCTCTGTTATATATAACAGGGAGAAAGTAATAATAATATTGATATATATTTATCATATTTATTATCTCAGTCTCAGACATTTTTTTTTATTTTTGAAGTTATTCTAGATTTCAATAGTTTGGGAATTGCTGTTCAAGTATAAAAGTATGCCATATGTTTATTTTGTTACGTACAAAATAATTGTTGTACGTAAATATTCCTAAAAGTAGATGTATATTAGAAGGATTTCATGGTTTTTCTGGAGCGAAATATTATTCCTAACTTGCTTTACAGAATCATTCGTGAAACGAAGAAATTGGATAAGCAAAATGCATTTGAACAAAATCAAATACATCCCCACCGGGATTCGAACCCGGGACCTTTGGATTAGAAGTCCAACACGCTATCCACTGCGCTACAGGGACACGTATTGGCTGGTATTATCAATTTATGTTTAATTTGAATGACATTATGAATTACGTTTCATTCAAACTGTGGGTCAGTAATGGTGCGTTATAGCTTTATGGAACGTAGGAGACTTGAATTAGGGTCCCCTTGCATAGTATTGATTTTATATATTATTTTTTGGGAAAATGTTCTGGGGAAAATTTTTTTTATAAAAGATTAGTTTGGGATCCCTGTTGGTGGGGACCCAACGGAATTACCCTTTGCCCATACGATAACTCGCTATCTGTGGGTCAATCCATTCATTAGTAGTTATGCAAACTTGGTACGAATGTATTACATCGGAGGACGATCAGCTTGGTTTTGTAGAATAAAATGTCTAATACTCTTAACTTTTTAAGAAATATTACTGTATTTCAGTAGATATTTTTTCGAACAANTAATTATTATATTTACTTAGTACTGTATTATTCTACTTTACGACCACTCGTTTTACAGCTTACAACTTTTACGATTGATATAAATTTCCTATTAACTACATTAAATATCGCATTTAAAAGCCATATTACAGTATTTATTCATTGTCCACCTGTGAATTTTATGAAGTTAAAATTGATTTCTAGAAACGTAATCTCAATTTACAACGTTGAACTTAGAGAAATAGAATGGGGGTTAACTCTTTGACGGATTATTTAATGACTTTATTTTTTTTTTCTGTAACCGTTTAAGTAGTAAAAAAGCAAAGGATTGCCATTACCAAACTTAATTTATTACCATTAAATAGTGTGTCCGGATTTATGGTAGCCTATATAGTGAATAACTAAACAATTTTGGTTAAAAGGGAAGTGTATAGAGGATGTACTATAGGAACAGATATTCTATTTTTATATATTAATAGATATACATCAAATTTTATAAAATAAAATAATTGTATAGCTAGCTGAATAGATATTTAATACTAATAATTAAAAAACGCAATCCAACACGTATTTTTAATTAGTGGTAACGTTATATAGCCTTAATTTACAGGCCACCTCCGTGTTAAAAAATAATTTTTAAGGCTTAAAGAATAGATTTTATAAATTCTTATTTGTAATTTTATAATTCAGTGGCTTATAATAAGGCTGAAAACATTGATTTATTTAAGGAAAAACACGCTTTGGACTTAAAAATGTCATTAAAAAAATGAACACTTTTACTAGTATAAATGAATAATTATTAATTTTAGTAAAGGATTTACCGACCATTCTTATATATTATTTATTATATTAAAATTTTAATTTATTCATTAAATAAATGAACATTTTTGTCTTGATATATTGCTGATTATCTTATGTAAAAATTTCATCTTTTTATATTAAAAAAACATGAAGTTGTAAAGAATTTTTCATATATTTTCTCTGAATATTTCTGATTTATGTAAATTTCTATTCAAAATTTATATTATTAAATCCGAAATTCTTGGAAAAGACTTTATTATTAAAGAATTAAATTTTAATTAAGCTAAATATCGAGAAAAACTGTCGTAATAAATAACCGTTTAATAATAGTAATTTACTATAATCTTTAAATTATATCTGAAGAATATTTTGAATTTCGAAAGTATTAAAAAAAGATTTGTTGAGACACAACTGAATGTAGAATAATGTCAGAATGCTCTCAAAATATAATAAGATAATTACAGCTATATATATTATCTACAGTTATTATATCACGCGAAAAACACATAAAAAAGTTGGGGTTGAATGGCATGATACTCGTAATTGCACGAGAGTTAACTTGTTCCTTCTCATATATATTAATCCAATATAGTATATATATAAAACCGATTCTACCGAATAGTACTGTAATTGTGCCAAATATAAAATTTTCCTGATTAATTTTTACTTTCTTATAAAACAAAGGGAAATTATGGCGAATCGGTCAAAATAACCACCAAATTGTTTATATTTTTAGATTCAGGAGACCTTGAAACATCGAGAAATGCAAAAATATTGAGGTTTTTTTCATTTATGTATGTATGTTTATAGTATATGTGTGGTGTGGGGTATGATTTTGTTCATCCACTTTAAAGCTTAATAACTCCTATAATCTTTGTCATAAATTCCTGAAATTTTGCACGAAGATTTCTGTATTAGGAAGAAATGTTTCTAGAAATTTTCAGGAAAATCGTCCAATTGATTCGGGAGATATTCCATCCCCAACCCGTTAATATATGAAATACTTACAGGTAATGGTAGCAATTATTAGAGATAAAATACGGCATAAACTCCAGCTTATCTTTAATTATCCTGGTTAATGTGATCAAAATATATATTTAAAACCACTTTTTCAATAATTAATTAACGTCTACATCACGTAGAAGTTTATCATAAAACTGAGATTATGTGAGAAAAGCAGAGATGAAAGAAACTAGAAGTAATCTAGACAACGGGCAATGAACTAAGACAGAGTTAGAGAAGAAAGACGAAGGTCGTTCCCCAATCGACCTTCGTCGATTGGGAAGGACCATTTCCGTTGTGAATGAGAATGAAAGAAAGCACTTCCGTCACGAATCGATTGATGCGTCACGCTACATCGTGAGGGTAGAACCCGCGATTGAAGTGTCCCGCATGATATCGATCCCAAACAAATGCAACCCACTTCGATATGAGGACACATATTATAAAAAAAATCTAGGTTTACGTGACTGGAACCAGATTCAAAAGGAAAAATATAGATTATTAATCGAAGTGTATCCTACTAAACACGAAGAAGTGTAATCACGCTATTATCGGATTCAATACAAAACGCAGCTTTTAACACAATACCCTGTGTTTAGTATGTAAAAAGAAAGGTTCGTTTTTGTAATTACATAAAAATATGAGCGTTCTTTTTGTATTTAAGTTAAGAAAAAAAGCAAAAAATGTAATTAATATCAATAAAATTAATGAAGAATTAAAGTTTTTCTTGTTATTTCGATCCGGTCTGAATGAAATGACAATACTTGCACGTGGAAATCATCCCTGAGAGAAGTTGGGAGTGCGCATTATCTATCAGTTGTAACTGATTAGGTGTTATCGAAGGGAGAAGAAATGATTTAGATTATTAATCAATGCCAACGACGGAGGTTTTAATTCGTAGGTAAAAGGCGAGAGAGACACTTGATTACAGGAAGACGCTTCGCGTATGACCATACGTCACCGATGGAAGATTTCGGTAGCGATCACAGCGCTCGGACGCGCTTGCGCAATGCACCTATGCGTCAGCTTCGACACTGGATGTGGAAGTGAGCGAAGAACGGTGGTTAGTGAACTCCATGAAGGAGGAAAAGGCCTTACAATGGATGCCACTTTGTAAATTAGGGAAATATCCCTCGAGTGTAAATCGTGATATTATATTATATGCATCCATGTTCGATCCGGATAATCGAATATTAGCTGGTTATGCAGACTACGCGGTCGCTCCTTTCATCCGGCAGCCATGTAGGAGAAAGTCGATCACCCCGTCGGCTTGTAAATTAGCTGGATGTTCCGAACGCTGATGATGATGATGATGATGATGATGATGATGCAGATGTAACATTTGTGAACGGCGGAAGAAACAAAACAAAAACAAACAAAACAAAACAAAAAAATTCCAAAAAAAAAACAAAATGAGCGATCACAGCCCAAAAACAAACAAGCAATATCATCCTAGAATGGATGAACTGCTAGCCAAGCTCAGAAGAAGCATGGTAAGTGTAATCTGTTTATAAATATACACGTTTTAATTGATGAAATTCATTACATTTCCCTCTCCCGAGTGGGGGGAAAATCGATCCAATTTAACATTAAAATAACGCAGTTTCTATTGTTACTATAACTACAATTTTAAGCGTTTATTATTATTATTATTATTATTATTATTATTATTATAGAATTTATTTTTATATATACAATTTTTAGTGCATATTGTTTAAATTTTATTGTTAAATTGTAAGTAATTTTGTTAGAAAAAACTCTGATAGAAACGTAACCATTTACTGAGATATTGGATATTATCCAACATATTGAGTATACAATTCGGATCAACTTGTTTGCTTCCCTGCCCAATTCTTTTGTCCGAGGGGAAAGCCAGTCGAATTCTGCGCAGGCTCTGGGGGGGTTTTTACAAGTAAAGTTCATGCACCGATTAAGAAGTCGGGATTTGAAATTTTTTTTTTACTTTTATCGCCAACATTTTAAATAATAAACAAACAGCTTACTCGCTTATTCGTCTCGAAAATTACAAGTGTTTCTATATTGTTATAAATTGCTGATTTTTATAAGTAATTTGCACTTATATATTTAATTATCGAGTAAATTTTATAATAAAATATTTAATAATTTGGTTTAAATTCATAACAGAGAGAATAGTAAGACAAACCTCTATATAACGTATACGTAAAAATATGTACTGTACTTTGTTTGAAGGTTAAATTCAGCATTGAAATGTAAATAGAATGAAACTTTGTATACTAAATATATAATATATTTATTTATTTATTATATAAAGTGTAGTTTGTGTACGTTCTCTTGGATTTAATAGTATTAAATCGTTTATTTTATTACATTCCCTTCAAGTGCGTGTGTATGATGTATATATATATATATATAGGCTATACACACACACTCGAAAGAATTATTTTTATTAACTTTCATGTTGACTTCGGCTTTTAGTTACGGCTCATAAGACTGATTATTCAATAACATTGTTCAACCGTTACACACAGTGTCAACCGTGCAACTGCTTCTCGAGATAAGAAATAACAAATGTTTTGTTTTGACGTCACTACCGGAAGTGCCGAATATTGTTTAAAATGGCGTGACTGGGTTAACAACATTGCGCGTAATTCACCGAGACTTTTAACCTTTTATTATTCTTAGAAATTATTTCTTCTATGATCTATGTAGATACCTTGGTGAGGAGTTAAATATAGGACTGAGTAGTCGAGTAGCAGTAACACCCAAGTAATGCGTTTAAATATTAATATTTAGTGAAATAAAATCAACTGAAATGCAAATTTTGTCCGTAATTTATCGCTTAATAAAACACTAAATTCACAAAATTCCAAGAATATGTGTATGGGCTTCAAAGTTGTGTTTAAATTCAATAATTATATTTAAATAATGTAAAAATTTATTTGTTTAAGAAATAAATATAAATTTTTATAGAATTTAAAACTAGAATTTGCCTTTTTTATACGTAAATCAAATATGAAAACAAGTTTTATTTTAATTAAAATTAATTTAATTAAAATAAACAATTTTTCTCGTGTTTTTTTTTTCTTGGATCTTTATCACTTCTTATGGGATTTTCCCTTCTTAAAAAAAAAACCAATCTTAAATAAGAAGAAATTTGATGATTAAGTCGATAGTTTAAAGAAATGGCATTAGGATTTTTTAAGAAAATAAATGAAAAAAAACATAAAAGTAATCTTAAAGTTTTATCGATTATAACTGAAAGGTCAAAGAACCGCAGTGTCTTAATAATTCAGATCGATATATTATAACGAATATGGCGAAATTCTTCTGTGTATATCTTTGTACTAAATTAAGCAGAAAATCGTCTAGTAGGTTTTTTTATTTCTTTAATTTTCAGTATCAAATAGAATTGGCTTTGAGTAGAAGGGAGAGGACTGTCTGTATTCATCATTCGCTCCACCTAGACTTCTCGTAGCCACTTCTTATCACACTGTAGATCTTAAGTTGACCGAAAACTAGTCGAACCAGTGACCTTAACAATCCACAACAATAATTTACCGTAATCTTGTCTGATTTAACAACAACAAAAAAAAATCTCTTCATGGATTCGTCTAGATTTCATTCTTCTTCCTCAACAACGAATTTATTTGGAATAGCCATTTTAAAAAAATTTTATGAAAATTTTCAAATAAAATTTGATGGAAATAAAATTAATTTTTTTTTTTTAATGTTTGGGTTCAAATGAAGGGCGTTTCTTCCTCTAGTAATCTCCAGCACGAAAAAGGGTGGAGTTCCTGTGGAAAGTTATTCCAAGATTCGTTTATAGATGGGAAAAGAAACTTGATAAGGTCATGATTTTTTTTCTAATTTTTCTTTTTTTTTTCTTCAAAGAACCGAGTGTTGGATTTATGAAAAAAAAAAAAAAAATGTATGCCTAATCGATCCTTACTTCGTACGTCTGGAGTATCATCATTACTTATCATAACACTAAAGCATTTTATCATAAAGATCCACAAAATTACCATTTTATTATCGTACGTGACAAAAAATTTTTTAAAATTTTTGAGAAAATTTTATAAGGTTTATGACTTCTATAAAGAATTTTATATATATATGTACTTTCATTTTTCTTAAATATTGATCTAAGTTTATGTTATGTTTGGACCCGAATGGACTCAAAAAAAAACTCAGCAGAATTTTGTTTTGTAAATGGTAAAGATTTAAAAATAAAAAATGGTATAGAAGAGTCATTTGCATGCCAAAGAACAACGACCATCTTTAATCTATCTTAGAATTTATTGATATTTATGGCACCACCTGAAAACTATCGATTTTTTGATTGAATTATTTTACAATTTAACTCCGTTTGTAGTGTCACTCGACAAGAGTAATTTAATTATCTTTTCTTATTAATCTATCGCACCTATATATATATATTTTTAATCAAAGCATTTTATTTCATAGTGCAACTGGAAAAATATTCAATAAAGTAATATTTATTTTTCTTTTTTGGAAGCACAAAATTGATTTTTTTTCTCCTATAAAAAGAGGAAAATCTTTAATTCCCAAGGATATTTTTACTGTAATATATTTTTTTAAACCATAAAATTCTTATTAACTGGAAATTTTACTGTTAGATTTTCAATCCGAATGAGTAATTTTAACGAAAAAAAAGTCATAAAAGAACATTAAAAATAATAATTTTTGCAAGAAAATATATATAAAATTTAAAATCATATTTATGTAGTGTATTTTACATAATATTTAATAGAATTTAAAAGCTGTTACATAGTAAATTTATTGGTAAATATCATTGATTATCTTCTAAGAACTGATTAAATTCTATTCGGAGTAAGGAATCGATGTATTAAATGCTAAGAATGACTCTCAATTCCCACTCGAGAAAACAAAATCGACTTGTCGATCACTAATTAGATAGAGAAGAACATTGCACTGAATATCCACTTTAACTTATTCTGTAGATTGAAAGTGAAAGAAAACTATTATCAAATAAAAATTAGAGTGCTGTCTGGTGTTATTTTCCATTAAATTAGTATGAAAATTGCAAAAATATGTTCAATTTTCTTCGAGATTCGATTTATAATGAGTTTTTTTCTTTTTATAACACACACTTTTTCTTTTTTTAAATTTATTTACTTTAATGCTTAATAAGATACATGTTTAAATGTCATTAAAAATTATACAATGTCGTGAGATTACAAATAAAAATTTAGAATTTTAATACCATGTTATCTGAATTGTGTCATCCTTAATTAATCTTATCAGTGGCTGAGGGGTTAAAATGCAAATGAACTGTGAATGCTTCCATAGTTTTAGTACGTAATATTAAATTTTATTCTGAAAAATCTTAAATTTAATATATAAATATTAGAACTAAGAATCCAGACAATCGATAATGGATCACAAAGAAAGATATTAGAATAAAGAAGAATAATCTTATTAAGCTTTGAAGTCTGTTAATCCTGTAGTGAATATAAAGAATATTTCTAAAGTAATATTTTAGCTGTTAATTCCAAGGAAAAGATATTGTAGATTAATTGGATTTGATATAAATCTTAAAAACTAACTAACGTTTATTTGAAAAAATTGAATGTTAATGTATGAGATGTCTCAAAAGTCAATTTACTAATGTAAAAACTAAATTACTATTTTATTTAAAAATTCTTTATTGTTATTTTTTTTAAATACAATTGCAGTCAAATTAATTGGTATAATTTAGGTAATAAGGGTGAAAAAAATTGTTAATATATTTATTTATTTATTATATAAAGTGTAGTTTGTGTACGTTCTCTTGGATTTAATAGTATTAAATCGTTTATTTTATTACATTCCCTTCAAGTGCGTGTGTATGATGTATATATATATATATATAGGCTATACACACACACTCGAAAGAATTATTTTTATTAACTTTCATGTTGACTTCGGCTTTTAGTTACGGCTCATAAGACTGATTATTCAATAACATTGTTCAACCGTTACACACAGTGTCAACCGTGCAACTGCTTCTCGAGATAAGAAATAACAAATGTTTTGTTTTGACGTCACTACCGGAAGTGCCGAATATTGTTTAAAATGGCGTGACTGGGTTAACAACATTGCGCGTAATTCACCGAGACTTTTAACCTTTTATTATTCTTAGAAATTATTTCTTCTATGATCTATGTAGATACCTTGGTGAGGAGTTAAATATAGGACTGAGTAGTCGAGTAGCAGTAACACCCAAGTAATGCGTTTAAATATTAATATTTAGTGAAATAAAATCAACTGAAATGCAAATTTTGTCCGTAATTTATCGCTTAATAAAACACTAAATTCACAAAATTCCAAGAATATGTGTATGGGCTTCAAAGTTGTGTTTAAATTCAATAATTATATTTAAATAATGTAAAAATTTATTTGTTTAAGAAATAAATATAAATTTTTATAGAATTTAAAACTAGAATTTGCCTTTTTTATACGTAAATCAAATATGAAAACAAGTTTTATT